CAAAAAACGCCGTCTTGTGCGCCCTTTTTGGGGTGTTTTTTTTTTTTTTTTTTTTTTTTTTTTTTTTTACAGATAAGCCAATATTGACATTCACATAATGTAAACATTCGATTTTGCAAAATGTCAATCCTAAACAAACATTTATATGCCAACAAGAGATTTTGTTTAGTAACATTCATACTACAGTATCACTCACACACAATACAACTAAGAACATCCTTTTTAGCAACCTTCGTACAGTAACACTCACATGTCCACAGAAGACAAACATTAAATTTTTTAACATTCGACCCCAATTACATGTTTACATGCAACCAAGAACATTAGATGAACGATGCTTTTGTACAAAAAAAAAACCCGTTCACATTCAGCCCGATTCGCACAACTCCAAGTGATTTACTGTATTAATAGTGTGACATTCAGCTTGCAAATGTTGCTCAATTCAAAAACAGAAGAAATATACAAAAAACAACTTCTTGGTGTGAATCGCACAATGGTTTATAAATAGACCCCCCCCAAATCTGTGTTGTCAGCGGGCCTTTATCCCCTTTTACTAAAAAAAAAAAAAAATAAAAAAAAAAAAAAAATCACATCAGCATGCAGCTGTGCATGCGCTTCTGAAATCATCCTACATTCAGTAACCCCTTCGTGACTGGAGACGTACACTGTACATCCGCCACAAAGTGCCTAAATGACTGGCCAAGTACACTGTACGTTACCAGTTATTTACGGCTCTGTAATGCTGGTAACTGCTGATTCTCAGCGGGTTACCATTAATTAAATGAATGCCTCAGTATTGAGGCATTAATGAAATAGAGAGCAAAAACGAGGGAAAAAGGAGTAACGCAAGGAAAGAGAAAATATATGCAAATATAATTATGGATGGAGCTCCAGGGTTTCAGAAAATTATATTCAAACAGCGCAAACCCCCTAGCATAGAAATCCCATAGTAGGAGCCCTCCAATAAATAGATATTCAAGTATAATGTTAAAGTGCATCCAAACATATTTATTTAAACATTGCAACACAAAGATAAATCACCTCATTACATTTAAAACATATTTAAAATCGAATAGCTTCCCTAAAGTGACCTCAATGTGGGACAGAAATAAAGTTGAAATATCCGCAGGGCAGAGCAGCAGTCATTGATATGAACGAATACACCGTTACGAGGCGGTGGATACTAATGTATCAGCATATGATAGGATTACTCACTTGTTCCTCACTTGTGGCCACAAGGGAAAGAGTCTGTGCTTCTATGATAGATATTCCAGTGATATTCTTAATAAAAAGGTTTTTTGTTCAGAAAACATTTGTAATCCTGCTGATCGCTTAGACGTTTCCAACACTTGCACCAACTTCCATTGAGTTTGATCTTGACCTGTTTCACTTCACATCAACTATGGACAGGTGGCCCGACAATTCCCCTGCAAGTGCGGCCGCCCCTGGAGCGGGGGTAAACGATGTTCCTCGGGCAAGGTACCCTAAGGGTTCAGCGTGTGACTAGCTTCCCTGAGGACCCAGGACTGACTACTTGTATGTCATCGCAGTAATTGAGCAGGAGAGCCTCTGCAATACCGACTGTATTGAGCGAGGCCCGCTCAAGCAACACAGCGACAGCGGAGACCACCAATTTCTAATCCCTGATTAAGCACATCGCTGGATACCTTGCCCGAGGAACATCGTTTACCCCCGCTCCAAGGTGCGGCCGCACTGACAGAACCCGCGTGTGATGCTGAGCGTAAGGCACCGCCTCGAAGGAAGCCACCATGAGGCCCAGGACCTGCATGAAAAAACGGATCGTCGACCGCCGACGCGCCCGCAACAGCGCCACATGCGAGCAAAGCTTCAAAAGCTTCTCGGGGGGTAGAAAAACTCGCGCCGAGGTGGAATCCAGAATCAACCCCAGATACTCCAATCGAGTGGTCGGCACCAGGCAAGACTTCTGGAAGTTCAGGAGCCATCCGAACTCCTCCAATGACCGAACAGCGATCGCCAGATCCGCCACTAGAGACGAATGCAACTCCGCCTTCAGCAGGAGGTCGTCCAGGTACCCCACCACCACGCCGGAGCGGGGCCGTCGCAGCCGACCCACCGGAGCGAGCCTGCATGCGATAGTCGGTCGTCCAGGGGAGACTCCAAGGATCCAGGACATCCAGCCTGTCGCCCGGACAACACTTGCTAGAAGATTCTACTGAAAAAAGCAGGAAGAAGCAGGTAAGAATGCCCGAGAAATAATTCTTAGCTCCTTACTCCTGACGCTAGGCAAAAAACTGGGGACTTGTCAGCAGGTGGGGGGTTTGGCCACCAGCAGGGGCCGCCCCTAGGCTGTAATTGGTCTTTAGTTTTTTGTGCCTAGCGTCCTTCTCCTGCAGGTGGCGATATTACCCTACAGTACATGATCTCCGATCTGTTCCCTGTGTCCTTCAATGAACGGGAGAGAAAGTTAATTTTTGGTTCAAAATACACGATCACCCCATGCCACTTATATCATCACATGAATTGAATGTCAAGCTGCTTCTTCCATTTAGCCTGATGTTGCAGGAATTACCGGGCATCGTATATGGCTGCACAATAGCAATATCTTCTGTGATGTGATATAGTGGTGGGACGGTCCTGTGTGGTACAACCAATCACTTCGAGGAGACAAGTCACAGTTGAGAACCCTTTTGATTGGCCAGCTTTCAATCTTAGACCCTGCTCCCTGTGAAGGCAAGCAATAAATCTGGGGAAGGGGGCGTGCCCCTGAAACGCGTCAATCTAGCTGACTGCGGCCGGTGATGTGACCGGAGGCAGCCATGCTATGTAGTCCCGTGTGGCCCTTGGCCTTTTGACAAGCATGACGAAAACATGTGTTTGTGAGTACATATACCCTTTTTTATTCATTCAAATAAAAGATTTTACACACAGAGGGGGCACTCTGTTCTTTTTTGTAAGCCCCAGAGCCTTTGGATGAGCAGCCCCTCCGGATTGTGTGAAAGACTTTGAATCACTTAACAGCGGGTGGAGTGTTTGACGGCAGCCATTAGCGCCAAGAGACAACAACAACTTTACAGATAGGTATTGACTAATTGAAAACACAGCAATTAGAGCAGAGCAGCGTGGAGATTTTTCCCGGTACTCAGCAGCACTGGGGTACAAATTACAATGGCAAAGCATCCCAACACACATATACTGTGCACTGCCATGAGTTACTGTAACATATTATAATAATGCCCATTATAATAACACTGTGAAAGCCCTTAGCCTAGGTTTATACTAGTGCTGCTGCATGATTTATGCCTTTTCAAAGCGTTTTTTGATGCGTTTTCATGCATTTTTTTTTTGGCCAATGACTAGCAATATCTGCTGTGACATCATTAGGCATGGTGTTCCTTTGAGACTTTATGCACAAAAGCACACCAAAATTGCATGTACATGTGTTATTTTATGCACTCCCATTAAAGTCTGAGGGGCCAAAATACACTGTGCGGCACCAACACCTTTCCAAAAATTACATTACACCATGCTGCAATAAACAGACACCATTAAGAATAATGCGATTTCCGGTGTCATGAATTGCAGCACTACGGTCAGCAAAGTACAAATCTCACTAGTAAATAAAAGGTGGCACAAAGGCAGCGTATTTGAGTATGGAGCATGAAACCATAAAATGTTATGTCAACAACCTGCCTTGAATTCGTAGTAGAGAGTAGTCATAGCTTTAGACGCTGCAGTGTGAACTTCCAGCCAAACCTCAGACTCTGCAGACATCCCTCCCAATCTGCAAAATATCGGCTATCCAGCGAATGGAAAGCCTTACATCTGACTGCCCATCTCAAAAACCTGTAAATATTGAGATATCCTCAGTTTTACAGAAAGCACAAACCCTTCAATTAAACTAGTAATAATAAAATTAAAGCATTTTATATCAAGCTTATTTAACAAGAAGCTGCAAACTCTAAGGCTATTTCAGGTAAAGCTGGCCACAAGTGCACACACAGTACAATCTGATTATACAATTACTGCACACACTAAAGATTTCATAGCAACTATGAAATGGCCTACATAAACAATCCATGGAATTCATATCCAGTCAAGTAGGCCCTCCAACAACGTCAATGGCCAATCTAAAAGCAGATTGTACAATCATTTTGTAACATGCTTGGCTAGCTTACCTTACATGTAGAATTAATTTTGCTGTTCTCTGAAGAAAAAAAAAATGTTTCCTGCACTTTGTACCTCATTAAACATGTCCTAAAGAGGGTTACATACAGACTAAACACATGACCTAATAGGAGTTACTGCAAAATAAGTAATGTAAATTATTTAATGGGAAAACAAATATTTTGGGGCAGCCATAACAGCTGAATAGTTCATAGTTCTAGAATCTCTTCCCAACACTCCAACTACTCAAATCAGTGCTAATGAACAGAGCTGCAGTGATATCACTATTGTTTTGCTACCAACAGGGGAAAAAAACAAAAAATAGGAGGAGACTAACCTCGATGGAAGGGGAAGATTTTCCCATTCTCAAACTGTCTATTCTTGTGCTGGCCATTACCACAGGCTTCAGAAGCCAAGTTAGAAAGGCTAGATGCTCTGATTTTACCCCCGACTAATGACTCTTTATCGGTGTCATGTGGCACTGCCCAATGCATTTCCCTGCCCCAAGTGCCAGGATCTTCATGGGAACGCTTTACTGGCAAGGGGAGAATCCTGTGATGAAGTTGGGGGCTTGGTAGACGGGATGAAAAAGAAGACAGACCAGAAGATGCCTCTTTAGTATTTAATGAGTGACCAAGCAGATCACCGTCTGCAGCCGAGCTTGTGCGTTTCTCAGTTCTGCCATTCCGATGAGTCACTGTGGGTAAGCTCAGCGATTCCAAGGAACTTATTTGTTTCATCAGATTGGGGCTTATACGACCATGTACTCCTTTGCGATCCAGCTGCCCCAACCAATACTCAGTTTCCTCCAGACTGTCACTTTTAAGGACTTTAAGGAGGTTTTTGTTGACAAAACCATTTAACTGGACAACCTCCTGATCAGCCATGGCCTCAAGATCCAGTTTTGTCTCACAACCCAAATCGCCCCCCTTGTGATGCTCAACAGGCCCTGGCAGTGCAACAACATCGACTTTAGGCACAAATTCATTTGGTGGTTCAGACAGGACAGCTGTGACATTTGAGGTATCTGTAAGTGAATCATCTAAGTATGTAGGTACTGCCTTTTGTATACTACCGCTGCAGATGTTTAGCACTTTAGCTACAACAGTCCTAACCTCTCTGCTACTAGAAGACAGATCACCATCATCCTTTTCCAGGGAACTTCCGTTTAATAAACTTCCTGGATCTGCACCCTCATTTTGTTGCTCCTGCACAATCCTGAGGACACCTTGGAGGTCCCCCATAGCACTGCCATTCGGAGGAAGTAAAGGGAAATCTCCAAACACATCATTGTCATACAAAGACTGGGAACTTCCTGTTGTTGACTCTGTACTAAGCCTCCCCGAACTTTCACTGCATTTACCATGGGAGTTTTTCACTGAAAGACCTGCAGCATAACTGTCCTTATTTTCTAGAGACTGGAGTCTTGGCCGCAGCAAGTCATCCATGGAACCTGCCAAGGAAATTCTTATAGATGGTGTTCTCTCTCTGCCTTGTGCCATCCCCATCTCTTGTGCCACTTTCCACTTCATCTTCTTGTTCACAAAGTCCTCTATGCTCTCTTTTCTTCGGCTGAACCTCCGGCCTTTTTTACCTTTAGTCGAAGGAGTCTTTTTTTCCACAGAGGCCATGAATGACTCATGAAAATCAATAGGTAGTGAAGAGTCCTCTAAAAAATTAGATGCTCCAGGCAGGTCCTGAAATTTGCCATCCTGATTTCCCATTTTAAGTCCTGATTTGTTGATGGTGTGGAGGAGCAATTTGTCTTTGGCCGCAGTGAGCAGGTCCCTTGTCGTAATTTTCTTTAAAGCCTCTGAAAAGCTTCTACAAGGTGGATCTTTGTGCTGTGCCTGCTCGGTCTCCTCCCTGACTCTAATGCAGTAATCAAAGCATGCTCCAGCCTTGTCTCGAGTTACACAGCATTTGTATGTGAATCCCCTGACATTACCCGGAGAAAGATAGAAGCTGACGTAACAGAGTTCCATAATAGGCTTGTGCAATTGGAGAACGGAGTTAGCACTCTCCATTTTCCGCCTCTAATTATTTCAAAATTTAAATAATGTTGTTAATGTTCTCTGTGCTTCATTGCAGAGCATGTGATAACCAGGCTGAGAATCATCTGACCGAGATCCACAATAGCTTGGCCTGTTAGAGCAAAAACAGAAAGGAGAAGAAAAAAAAAAAAGAAAAAAAAAAAGTCAGGATCGATGGAATGCTACATATTAGACAAATATAACCATCAGTCATTTTCCATCAGTACTAATAAATACAAAAAAAACTAGATTCTGTGCACTTATATTAATGGCTACTAACGCTGGAAATAATGGTGGTAGATCGCAAAATTATTGGAAGATGTTTTACTATGTTAGGATTTAAGCCTGCTGCAATATTTACACATGTAAGTGACATAGGCGATCCCAAGCTTAAACTAGAAAATGTCACAAATTACAATATAGTTAACATGTGCAAAAATCTTTACACTGATAGCCATAAGCTCATTTACCAAAGAAAAAAATATCTCTGTAACAAATCCAGGGTACTTGCACATAACGCTTTGTCTTTATAAACCTAGACAAGCAGAGACTGGTTAAAAACTGATATAAAAACACAATTACATGTATTTTAAATACTAACTACTGTAAAATACATCAATCAGCTCGCCATCCTCTGATCGCATGCACTAGGAGAGATTGGGATACTAGCAGTCAATCTGATTTGCCGCAAGTACATGTTTTAACAGTAATACAGACACAATTAACACCTTATCAATTCATCTTGCCCCTTTTTTTGCCCAATCAGATTGACCAATGTTCTTGACCAGGCTATTCTGCAGCAGCAGCAAAAGGACTAGGTATGCTGTTTGGCAGAAATGCATAGAGAACAAGACTGGCTGCAGCGAATTAGATATGCTTTGGCAAATACAGCAGTCCCCATACACATTTCAACGGTACATAAAAGCTATATAAATGTATCTCACAATACATTCCCTTTAAATAACAACTCTGGGAATTAAAAAATTAAAATAATCGGCTCCACTGCAAAAGGTACGTTAAGTGCTTGTTTGGTCTAGGGGGTGCAAATAAAAACTTACCTGATCCAGGGTCACGCTGGGCTGCTAGACTGGTTCTTGCACCCTACTCTCCCCTGGGCTTTGGCGGTCTAAGGACCACTGGCGTCATCACATCTAATACAGGTCAATTGACTTGCATTAGTTTTGAGGATGTTGAGGGTCATTCGTATATGTGAGCCCCCAGACAAAATGAGCACTTAAACCCTTGAAGTGCAGGAGTAGCCCCACTGCGAGGGTAAGCATTTTTTAAATCCCCAGAGTATTATTTACTTAGGTATTCAGCAGGAACAATTTATAAAAAAAAGTGTGACCTGTGCTTTGGTTATAGGCAGTCTTCTTTAAAAGCAGAACTTTAGTGCCATTAAGATTATATATGCACACACACACACATATATACACGTTGCCCGAGGAAGGGGTTCTCTGCTCCTTCTGGAGCTTTGCAGCTTTACCTTTTTCTGGATGTTAACCCTTTCCCTGCCGCCAACGTAAGGCATAAGGCGGAACAAAACTGTTCAGTATGCCTTACATCGGTGGCATTTACACATTCTGCTATAAGCTCATGGTCGCTTTGGCTGGGTGCAGGAAAAGGAGAGCTGAAAACAAAACCCAAAACAAAAATACATTTAAAAAAAAAGGAGCATCCGATCAAGGCCATTCTCGATTAAAAAACGGAATTAAAAAAGTAGCTTAAAATATAAAGCTCATATATCAAAAACAACAAAAAAAACAACACCGGAATGTTTAGGAATGAGCTAGACCTCAGTGGAAAAAGAGAACCCCCTTCCCGAAAGAAGAAAAAAAAAAGGACGATGTGAAGGTGCATAAAATGCATGCATTACTAAATAGTTAAAAAATAATGTCTGACGTATAAATCCACTAAACATTAGGGCAAGAGATGGCCGAATATATACACATACATAAAATGGTTGAAAAGTATATAGAAGACATGATAAAACCCATATACAATAACGATACAAGAATAAAAGGCCATAATATGCAATAAAATGATCTTATAAATACCATTAAAAGAAAATTCTTCCAAACTTGTTAACTACATATAGATGAATATTCCATGGGTGAAAGACCAACTAAATGGATTGATGAACATAAAGTAATGATGACAAGTATTAGACTAGTACCCTCTACCCACCAATAGAGTGCCTGGAGGCTGCGAGAGGTGCAAATTACCAAACACCTCCATATTGCCAACAGGAACACAACGCGCCAGGGCAGGCGACAATGCCAAACTTTCGTTTAGGCCCATAGGTGTCAAACTGTTAAGTGTATATAATCAATATGTATCTCTTGCACACAATCTCTCAAATCTAACACCTTCGTCATTCTTCCATGAGAAGGCTTGAATACCAAACAATCTCAGGCCTGCAGGATTTGCAGCATTATGTTCCAGAAAACAAAATGGTACAGAATGGTGGCCAACTTAATGGATATAATGCTCGTGTTCCCCAAATCTAGTTCTTATAGTTCTGCCTACAAAAAACTTTCCTCAAGGGCAGATCGGCCCATACACCACAAATTGCATTCTGAAATTGATAAATGTATTTATCGGAAATAAAAGCCACCTCCTTTACTGACATTCTCTTTTTGTGCCATAGAAACGGACAAGCACCATTATACTGTGTACTAAAGTACACTTGGTGTGAGTCATCACAGTGTAACTCTTTTCTCAGACAATTGAGCCTTGTGCTTAAAAGAAAACTATGGGTTAAACTCTTTATTCCATAGGTTCTCTTTAGGTCACGGGAGGATGTTAGTACGTGTTCTCCCGTGGACCTTAAGTTCAGTATATAGCGAGCTATATACACTGAGGGCGCTGCAGCCTGGACGGATCCCAAAAACTGTCAAGATCCACCCAACGAGCTAACAGCGGGCTCTGCCCATCTAAAAAAAGGCAGAGCCCGCTGTCCCCACCCCCTCCCCCGTCCGTTCCTCCACTCAGCGCTGGAGGATCGGAGAGGGCTGGGGGGGGGGTCCCTGTGGGGAGTGGTGACTGCAGTCACCACTCTCTGCAGGGAGATGATCGGGAAGTGAGCAAGCGACAGTATGTGTTCGCTCGCTTCCTGATCAATAGAGCCAACATGTCACAGTTTCATTGTCACACATCGGCTCTAACTAGGAGGATGAGTGAAAAATTACTCACCTCATAGTTCTCCTTTAACAAAAGTGTTATGTATTAATTCTTTATTATAGCGTCTCTCAAAAATGTTTTAAATCAATACTGTTCCCTGTGTTATGTAGTCTTCATCTGCAAAAGAGTTAAACTATAGAGACTTGTTCTATCACCATCCCAGGTGACGATATCGTTGCTCCAAACCTACCATATATTTACCATCAGCATAATGATTACATCCAAACCTGATATACTGAATTACATACATACCTCGAAAAATTAGAATATCGTTCATTTATTTCACTAATGCAACTTAGCCGTCTAACAGGAGATTTTGGAGCACTTCATGCTTTCTTCCGCAGACGAGCTCTATGGGGATGCTGACTTCATTTTCCAGCAGGACTTGGCACCTGCCCACACTGCCAAAAAATGTCTGAGATTGTGGATCTGCGTTTTCCTGAGCTGTAAGCCATAATCATCACAATTATGACAAATCACGGCTTGAACTATCTTGCTTTGCATGTAATGAGTCTATCTCATATTAGTTTCACCTTTTAAATTGCATTAGTGAAATAAATGAAATTTTGCACGATATTCTAATTATTCGAGTTTCACGTGTGCGTGTGTGCGTGTGTGCGTATGTGTATCTATTTTACACATTTTTTTAGTGGCAGCAGCATTTCAAAATTATAACAGAAGCCCCTTTTACCAGAAGGAAATATTCTTATCTGCAACCTTTTCAGTGTGGGTTAATGCTCAAATCAAATCAGAGCCATCACACTGCATCCTGGTGGCTAGAGCAGTATTACACAGACTGGAATCAGACACAGCCATACATCTTTTTCTCACTCACCATTGCAGACACACCGATGGGTCCTTTGGGAAAACAGAACACTCATCCTGTTGCTTACTATTATCTATAGAATTAGACGCAAGGTAACCACTCCAGAAGAAAGCAGCCACACGTAACACGGTCAGTCTACATTGGGTGGGGCATGCAGGAGCACTAGGCACTTCATCTGGCAACAATTCAATTTCTGTCTTACAGCTACTGGGTGAGGCAGCTCCGTCGGAAAATTTCTTGCATTAGTGGTATGAGAGGTAACTACAGACCTTTGTCTTTACATACCAATCCGTAAAATGAGAAAATAAAACAAGGGCTCCATCATTTTTTTACATGCAACTCCCTGGGCAATTAGGAAGATATTAAAAGCATCAGACTTTCTTGGGCAGCAACTAATTATTATTTTCATAATCATCTAGATGGCCAATTTTTTCCCCTGATTGATCAGATAAGAAAAGTTTACTGTAGAATAAAACTGCATGCACAATTTTTTGCAATCACACGGCATTGTGGCACTGTGTTCCTGTGCGGCCGATAACACTGAGGGAGGTACGCTTGGGGTGCCATTGAAATGAATGCCACTGCAACCCACCTCCCGCAGTAGAATTTGTCAGGCCGAAGTAGATTTTTGCTCCCACTTTTTATTAAAAATGTTTTAATAATTGTACTGTAAGCACATGGCGCTTGAATAGCTTCAGCCAGGGAATGACAGCTGCCAGTGGCAAGATCCCACAGTCTGCAGCTGAATGTAAATACAGCAGGTAGCGGCTAGTGCAATAGCCAGCCTGCTATTGGCCATTTCAAATTGCAATAGCCGGCTGGCTGTTGCACCTGACCACTGCATGCTGTGCCCACCTTCCAGCGTGGAGGAGAGAATTAGAGGATCCAACCAATTAATCGATAATGAGAATACTTATTAGTTGGTTACAGCCCTACTTTTTTCCTTCCCCAAACTCGAATTATATTAAATGCACACAAATAAAATGTATCTTGGCCAGTAATAACATTGTCTTCTATTAGGTCTAGGGCATAGGTCTTAATTTGATTCCCTACAGAGCTGCAGACTGCTTGCAAGAAGTTA